ATCTGAACGAGGCAAAAATCATCATAGCCCTTCATTCGGCAAAATAATATATATTATATATATCTGAACGAGGCAAAAAACATCATGGCCCTTCATTTGGCAAAATAATATATATTATATATATATCACCTGGAAAGTGCAAAATAAACGGAATTCCGCCGTGCCACGCAAGTTTGGACGGCGCATGCGCTTCAAAATACGACGCGTCGCACCCGCCGTGGAGCGTAAAATGGTCCAAATCCCCCGGGGTAACGAAAAAACTTGTCACGAAAAAAATCTCACCGCTCGTGTCCACTTTGACGTTGATTTCAGGGTACCTAGGACGCAAAAAGAAAAATATTATAAAAAAAGGAGTTGACCGAATCAATACAATGCACATCTCCAAAGTTTCAACTATGAAAACACATCAGCGGTATATTACGAAACCCTAACGAGCAAGGGACTGAGACTAGACAACACCTACAACTCCTCGTTCAAACAGTGCAAACCGAACTCGCAACCCTGGAGATCATATAACCGAGGAGCTAGCCACAAAAGGCAACAACACACAGCGTATACATCGAACGACAATGCACCGCGAGCTAAACGTAGCTACGAAAAATATTGCTCACATACAGAGACCAAGGCACGAAATACATCAAATGCTATTGTCAAAACTGGAGTAGGAGAGAATGGAGGATGAAAGAACCACCTAAGTCAATCAAATCACAGAATTTCTGCCAATTCAAACGTTTCATGGGTCCAAGAACCGCGCAAGTCAATCAAATCAATTTTCTGCCAATCCAAACTTTAGCCATATCCATGAGGCATAACGTTACTACATTTTGTTTGTCCAAGTTTCGACATTGATATGGCGAAATGAATGAAATACTTGGAGCACAAGCACAATAACCGGTGGTCGTTGTTACCGGGCATATGCCAGTTGGAAGGCGATTTGGTCGCCGTAAAAGAAGAAGGGCGACTCGAGGCGGTCAAATTTTTGCTGCTGCTCGGAATGCACTTGGTTGACGCGCCGCAGGAACGCGCGGACGCTCTGGACATCGCCGAGGATGCCACCCGATCCGAGGCTCCAGGTGGGGCCCTTGGATAACTGACAACACAAAACAGTAAGATACACTAACACAATTACACATTAGTCGTCGTGTGTGATCTAATAGTGTACTATATGGCCCCTTGAATAAAACACACAATGTATTGTAGATTCGGTACGCCTTTACTGCGTCGCGCAAGAAACCTCGCCGCGACATTTGATTGGGTAATATGAAATTACTTGTCTCGGATTGGCTAAATATTTTCCATGTCCTTTCTGCGGTTTAGTTGGTAGCCAATCAAATGTCACGGCGAGGTTGCAGCAAGGTTAAATAAACGAATTCACAATACATAGAAACACATTCCGTTGAGAGATGGGGGTTGTCGTCTTAAGTATTTGATGTGTGAGCCCAACCACCGGGTGAAGAAGTTATCTGTAGGATACGTGTAATATGGGCATTCCTTACATACAAACTTGAGCCCAACAAATCGATAGATTTGGCGAAAACGTTTTGTCTGATATTAAAGACAATCATGTAGGTATTGTGGATTTGGTACAAATTTCCAGACGACCCACGGTCGCCACCGAATCGAATCACGAAACGACGCTATTGGCTAATCCAATTTTGAGTGGATTGGATTGGCTCGAACAGAAAGGACAAGTATATTCAACCAATCAGAACTTCAGCGTGATGATTCCATATTGATTAGACAAACCACGGAAGTACGGAAGTTAATAGCGAGTTCACAATATGCTGGATTTATAACATACCGAATTCATCGACGTTTTCGCAGCAATTATGTTGCACATGTTGTCGCCTTGAATCGTCCGTTCGGGATATGTCGAATCGAGCTGGACCGTGAACGCGCCATGGCGTAACTGGTCGCCGTACATGCCTACGAGTGAACCCACCAAATCACCTTAAAACGAGCCAAATACTGTATACTATGACAAACACAATCATTTGTTGCAGGTACTACGTATATACTATAGCAGTACGCATAAGACATGACCACTACATGTACTAAGACTACAAGTCCGATCATCGCCCCCTCCGATACTAGTGTCCTGCAGTATATCGGTATACCGGTAGCCAACACTGGCCACAAAATATCTTCATAAAAACACAAATATACACATATATATAATATACTCCTAGCTCCATGGGATGAAGCACTAGATTGTGGATGCAACAAACACACACACACAGATCAATCAACGATACTGTACCTGGCAAAGTGAACGAGTCGGCACAGCCGGGTTCGCCGATGAAAATGACCCCGCGCTGGTGGTTGGTCTGCGCCAAGAACACTGCGGTGAGCTCACGCAAGTCACGCTGAATGACCACATCCCATGCGTCCGTGAACAAGATCAAGTCGTCGTCGTGGAGGTCGGCGTTGTGCTCAAAGTAATGCGTCAGCCAGTGCACCTACAATCGGTCAGCCGGCGATGCCGGATATGTCAATAATTAGATTCGAATGCGCTAGACACCCCCCCCTACTTGTGTGCTTGTATATGAGTTGTAGTGTTATTCAAAACTGGTACTGTGGCCTCCCCCTGGCCAGATTTGTAGGGTTACTTGTACTGGAGTGATCATCCGTATCGACACTGATAAAAACGGAGGGATAAGGAACGAGTCAATCATGCTTGTATGTACACGCATGAACGTGAAAACACGACGCTTTGTTCATCCTAGTATTGATTTCTTTTGTATGCCATGATGCATGGCATACAAAAGAAGTCAAAAGCTAACTAGCTACACATCCAATTGGACACGTCGACATTCAAGTGGGGGGGGTGACAGGGGGCAAGGGGTACCTTTTTCTTCTGCCCGACTCGAATGTCGCCGTCGGTGTTGGCTTTGCTGCAAGGCCCCCCGCGGAGGTTTGGCTTAACGAGGATGCGTCGTGCAACGAATTCGACACGGCGGCGGCTTTGGGACGGACGTGGGCACCGGTGGAGTGCATAAGCGCGTTCAACTTTCAGTATGTGAGCACGTCTGTTGCGCCAAGCAATGCACCAGTAACGAGCAAGGCCAGTAGCGGCCACTGGTACTTCGTGGGCACTACGACTGGCATGATTGGAGGACTCGGATGGTTGTCAAGTGGGTCCCAACGGTGGTTGAACGGTTTTTCTTGTAACCGACTGTGTCTGCTGGATTTAGACGAAAACCCAAAAACAACAATGGAAGTCGAGCCAAATTCCTACTATTAACAGTACCGTGGTAACGTGGAAATTTGACTTATATATGTACCCTTTGAACCAAGCATAAACTTCAAGGGCTAGTAGGAATAGCGCACTATTGTAGTAATGCCTTTGTCGATATCGACGTCCTAAAGTCATCCTGAAGTTAAACATAGGGAGCCCTCCTAATTGTGGCCAATTTAACGGACGCCCTATGTATATCGGCCAAGACAGTGTTGCCACCACGGAAATCTCCCCATTCAAATCGCCCGTTTACATGTTTACGGTATTCTTCGACGATGGAGCTTGCTTTCTTCTTGTGTGCATACTACTAGTACTACGTAGTATTAATAGTACTAGAGAACTTTAGCAAACCCGGAATTTGACCATAGTCATCTCCGAAATCCATTTTCTGAAATTGTCTTCGATTGTGAACAGGCAATTTGGTTCGTAAATTTGAAATTCTATTTTTAGCAACCTCGGAGTTTCAAATTTCCGCGCGACATGCATTACAAGAATTAACTTCGTCGTTGACTTGCGGACGCTCCGATTGATGCTTCCAAGCCAGGATACAGATTCAAAGTAGAATGCCCTGATGGCAGCAGTAGCACCATGATGACAAACTGAAGTACGGTTATATACGCGTAGATGCCAACGGGCAGTCAGTCGTCCACAACATTTTAAGACGTGGCGGCTGTGAACAACTAAGTGCTACCATGGCGATAAGGATCTGTAGTGCTGCAGAAGTACTGTAGCAGCGTGTGTATACGCAGAAGCTGGGGGACCACATCAAGGACGACGACGCTTGCAAACATTCCAATCGTAACGTTATTTACAACCGAGAATGTCCGCGCCATTCAAAAGCTCAATCTTGACTTGAAATTGAGCTTGTGAATGGTGCGGACATGCTGGTACCGGTAGCCTCGGTTTGATTGACGGTGCGGGGAACCATCGCCGCACCATCGAACAAACGATGTGTGTCATCTCGTTTGGAAGCATCCAGCTCGGTTACGCCATCAGAGCCGGAGTCAACACTTGTATTCTCGTAGTTTAGGCGCTACATTGCCTGTCGCCTTGCGAGTGACCATGTCAAAATGCAATGCGCAATCGCCAGTTGTTGTGAAAACTAACTAACGTAAAACACCAGGTTAAGATTACTTTTTTGGAGGCGTCGGAGAAGAATGCACCATGTTAAAGTTGTTTTTGCGACGTTGATGCTTGTGCTACCCCAGCACTCACGCCAACTTTGGAAATGCGAACCAGGGGGCCATACTTGAGGAAGCACGTTCCCCAGCCAAACGCAAACCCAGTACAGCTGGGGTTGGCATTGCATATCGGACAACAGTCTTCAGCAGAACTAGCGGGGGCATTGGCCAAGTCGTTGCCTTGAAAGTCGGTGTTGTTCTCGATAACCCCACACGACGGCGTAGGTGCCATCGCACCAGCACTCACGCCAACTTTGGAAATGCGAACCAGGGGGCCATACTTGAGGAAGCACGTTCCCCAGCCAAACGCAAACCCAGTACAGCTGGGGTTGGCATTGCATATCGGACAACAGTCTTCAGCAGAACTAGCGGGGGCATTGGCCAAGTCGTTGCCTTGAAAGTCGGTGTTGTTCTCGATAACCCCACACGACGGCGTAGGTGCCATCGCACCAGCACTCACGCCAACTTTGGAAATGCGAACCAGGGGGCCATACTTGAGGAAGCACGTTCCCCAGCCAAACGCAAACCCAGTACAGCTGGGGTTGGCATTGCATATCGGACAACAGTCTTCAGCAGAACTAGCGGGGGCATTGGCCAAGTCGTTGCCTTGAAAGTCGGTGTTGTTCTCGATAACCCCACACGACGCGGCAGACACATACTGCACTGCCAAGGTAGAAATCGCTATGACCAGCGCTAGTGAATTTGTACGCAGCATCAACGCTCGTGTTTGAAAGTAGAAATTAGACTGAGCCAAATTGCCGCGATTGCTTTTATGCGTTGTGACGGGACGTAACTTTTGCGACAACCTGGGAACGAAATTTCATACAATTGCACGATCTGAAGTGAAACTTGAACTTTTCCCAATTACCAGTACGGTACTATACTGTACAAGCTGCGTTGGTGTGAGATCAGGGCTGCACAGAACCTTCAGCGCGGATCCCTGTCCCAACTCTATACAGTAACTGTATATCATCAAAACTTCGGTTATATACCGTTACAGTACGGATAATTAGGGACTTATCCAGGCAGTTTGTCCAGTTATTGGATAAATCTGGCTGGGAACAAAAACACCCGGATACATCCCCAAATTATCCGTAACTTCGAATGTACCTCTATTACAGTATACTACGTAGTAACTGGTTTGGGATACTGTAGGGACATCAATATTTGGGGATGCGGTGGAGATGCGGTGAAGGTACAGTGCTTCATAGTACATTTGTAGAACTTAAAAGAGTACGTTTGTCTCACTTGGTTCTTTGTTGAAGCTGGATAGCTGATGGCGATTCAATTCAGGAGCTTTCCCACGTTAACGTAAGTCCACATTGAATGGAACATGCGTTGTGCACTGATGGTCGGTTGATAACTTGCCACCAGTGTTCGTAGTTGTACTGTACGAATCAAGGGTTCGGTTAGCATAGTACTACTGTACTACTAAATTTACCTCCGATTGGAAATGATTTATAGGTTTACTTTATATTCATATGTACAATTATTACTTACTAGGAGTAGTATATTATACAGGTATTCTTATATTTGCTGTACCAATATCTCCACCTAAACCTCTATAAACCGATATGTTTAGAAGCAATCAGATTGGGTGTATAGAAATTATATGGAAGCACAGTGAAATTTGAGCATCATTTTTGACCATAACTTCTATAACTTCTATGGTGCAAGAAGCCTAGAAACGACGATATTTTGAGCACTTTTTAGAGCGTTATACCATGTGCAGTATTATTTTTTCCTGGCGAATTAACCACAAAAACAATAGATCTCGACAAGGCGAATCGATCATGTGGTTCCAATTCACAATTAACGAAAAATGAGAGAGCTATATTTAGTTACGTACGTTAAGTAAGGGCATCCTCAATGGTACGACGGTATAATCAGACTGTATTTTGACGTTTACCGTCACTGTATTTTACTTTTGCGCAACCCAACGGTAAAACGGTATAAAATTCGCATAACTGTCACTTCCGGATATGCTTGGCGTCAACCTTGTGCAATACCGTCGAGGCATGGACGACGCTTGGGAGATGCTAAGCATGAGTAACGGACGGAACTCCAGAAGTCCCACGGACACTCCCTTTAGAGGGGAAGTGTTCTGCATGGCGCTGCAGAAAGACGTATGAGCCTTTTTAGAGGTCGGCTTATGGACTCATGATCGGTAAGGCAGCAGGCCGCCATTCATTGTGCGGTTGTAGCCATTGTCGTGCGGTTGAAAGATGTGCATTGTTGGCGCATTTTCATTGGACGAAATGATTAGACTTAAAATAGACAAGAAAAAGTAATTTGTAGTAAGAGACCTCAGTTTGCAATTTACAGTTAATTCGGCCTCCGCAAGAGGTTCCTGTCCAAAAAACAAACGGGAGCGAAGACAAAGAATTCTTCAACCTCATCGCCTGAAGCAATTAGTGACTCTGACCACTAACGCTCGCAGTTCCCTGTTAACGGGACGGAGCGATCCCGTCTCGAGAAGTCGAACGCGGCCGTCGCGTGCACCGTCAAGCCACTAACGCGTTTGCCTCTTCACGCCGGCGTAATCCACCAGCTGTTGATCAGCGGTTTCAACCAGATGGCTACGCCAACACCCCATTTACGGCGCCCACTCCGACCCTCGTGGCCGCGCCATTTGATTCCACCGCGCCAGCTGGGACACCAAGTGGCGCACCAACCTGCGCCCTATCCCCGATGACGATGATATGGGACAAGGCGACGAGCGCGGCTTCGTCTACAACGCACCGGCGCTCCCTGACTGACCTCGTTCAACGGCTCGACCACATCGGAGCGGCGCACATTTATCCGCCAGTACGAGAAGTACCTGGACCAAGTCAACGCCCTCCAGCTCAATGTCTCAAGACCCTTCGTCATGCCTGTGAACGCGTGCATGGACGTCTTTTACGAAGAAGCGTGTGGCGATGTGGGACATAGCCAACCACGACTACCGTGGCGTCACGGAGGCAGAGTAGGCCGCATGGTTTAGCAAGGTGTTTAAAGAGGAGCCACAATACCTAGAAGTGCTCAAGAAGCGTTTGACCACGGCGATCCGGTTCGATACGAAAATCCTGGACGCCGACTCGCACATTGGCAAGATGCTAGACAACTTGATGCGAGCCTTGGAGCGCGGCGACCAAGCGTGGGTCTTGGACCAAGAAAGCAAGACAGTTGTTGACATCATGGTCAAGGCGATCAAGCCGCTTGGCCTGCAGAAGTCGGCCCAACGCCAGCTGGCCCTCCAACGCAACAAGCCGTTGAAGTCCAACGTGAACTGGCTGCGCGTGCATACCACCGGGTACCACTTGTATGCCCCGGTTGAAGACGAGAAGATTTTGGCTCCACCTGTGACGGCAGCCGCAGCACCATCGCGGCCGTCCAAGCCTGGACGATCTGAAGGCAGTATTGGCAGCAGTAGTGGACCTCCCCGGCCCCCGAGCAAGACAGCGCGAAGTACGAATGCAAGAAGGCGACATGTCTCAAGTGCGGCAGCGAGAATCACAAGGTGGTAAACTGTCCCAAGTGCGCGCCTGGCGAATCCGAGCGACTGCTCAAGGAGCAAATGGACAAGTGCGAGAGCGCGCGCAACAGGAAGGTAACCAAGCTTCAAGGCAGCGCGAACAAGTCCCTTGGTCGCGAATCCAAGATCGAAGGCATCGTATCCGTCACGACGACCCTCCTCGACGCCGGCTCCGACGTTACATTGGTAACAGCCGGTGTGATGAAGTCCCTGGAGCGAGCAGGCGTGGAAGTCAAGGTGCTTTCGCCGGAGCCATCCGTGATCCAGCCGTATGGCCAAGCACCTGCCATCAACGCGTGCACGGAGCCTATGCCATGGCCTATGCCGAGCCTTGACGCCGCCCTGACTGTCTTAGTGGGCTCGTGGGCGTTTTTCACCCTCGACTGGTTCAAGGGCTACTGGCAGCTGGCGCTCCATGAAGACTCCCAGATGTTCTACTCCTTCATGACCCCCTTTGGAGTGTACACGCCTACAAGAGTGCTTATGGGCCAGACCAACGGGGTGGCGTTCTGCCAGTCGGCGGTGGACTTCATGTTTGTCGACCTATTGTTCAAGGGACTCCTAGCCTGGCTCGACGACATGATTGGCTACGCCGAGACCCCTGAAGACCTCCTCGACCTCCTCGACCAAGTCCTCACGATCTGCTCCTCCTTCGGCCTGAAGCTCATCCAGAAGAAATGCGACTTCTTCCTGACCAAGGTCGTCTGGTGCGACAAAGTCGTTTCAACTGCAGGCGTCCAGCATTCCCTCACAAGAATCCAAGGACTGTGTGCGCTCGCGCCGCCCGCTACGGCCGCCGACCTCCAACAGTTCGTGTGCGCGACCAACTGGATGCGGTCCAGCATCCCCTGCTACACCGAGCTTGTGGCGCCGCTCCGCCAACTTCTCGACGCAGCGACCAAGCAAATTGGAAGTGCGAAGAAGACGAAGCTCACCCGGGTCCAACTCGCTGCCGTTGGCTGGGACGTTGGCCATCTGGCCTGCTTCGACAGGATCAAGGAAGCTCTCTTGGCGATGGTTCCCATGGCGCACCCACGGGCAGACATGATGGTCTGCCTTTACACCGACGCAAGTGAAGGCTTTTGGGGCGCGATCACCACTCAGGTACCATTTGAAGACCTTGCCCTGCCGTTGCAGCGCCACCAGCCGTTGGCCTTTCTCAGCGGTGCTTATATTGGCGCAAGCGAGCGTCGGCCAATCGTGCAGAAGGAAGCGTTTGCCGTTGTGGAAAACTGCAAGCGGCTGGACTACCTTCTTATCCGCCCAGCTGGCTTCCGTCTTATCACCGACCACAAGAACCTGCAGTACATTTTCAATCCTGCCGGCCAGTCCCCAAGCATGGCGAGGTACCAAGCGCACAAGTTGGAGCGCTGGGCCCTGGTGCTTTCCTCGTTCCCCTACACCATTGAGTGCCTGCTCGGTGAAGACAATGTGTGGGACGACCTGCTCAGCCGCTGGGGCGCCGCCCAAGCCCAAGTGCCAACGAAGTCCGTCCGGCGCCTCCTGACTATGGTGTCACCCCTGCAGCAGCCCGACTTCGACTGGCCCAGCCCTCCCGGCATCGTCAAGACCCAACAAGTGGCCGTGAAGAAGGGAGAGACCCCGCCAACTGGCGTGGCGTGGAATGAAGACAAGAACCTGTTCCTCGACAAGGAAGACCGCATCTGGATCACACCAAGTGCCACGGACCTCCAGCAGCGGGTCTGCATCATAGCGCACCAAGGCGCCGCGGGCCATCGTCGAATCGAAGCCACGACCAAGGCCGTCCGCAATGTCTTCGCCTGGAGCACCCTCGAAGTCGATGTCAAGACCTTTATCCAAGCCTGCATCTACTGACTCAGCGTCGACGGCTCAGTTGTCCCGCGCCCGCTTAGATCGGCGCTCCATGCCGTGAAGCCCCAAGAGCTGATCCACTTGGACTGGCTATCCATGCCCACGGCGACGAACGGGTGGCAGAAGATCCTCGTCATCAAGGACGACATGAGCGGGTTCGTGCAACTTTGGCCCAGCGAGACAAGCGACGCCTCGGCGACCGCCAACGGCCTCCTCGACTGGTTCACGACCTTTTGGTATGTCCATACCTGGGTCTCCGACAGCGGCTCCCACTTCAAGAACGAAGTCATCGACAAGATCCGCAAGGCCGCCGGCGCCCACCACCACTTCACGACCGCCTACTGTTCTTGGGCGAACGGAACCGTTGAAGTAGTCAACCGACTGATCCTCCGCGCCGTCAAGACGCTTACCAGCGAGTTGAAGCTGCGCGCGACCGACTGACACCTCGTCCTGGCCATAGTACAAGGATCATTGAACCACATGCCGAGCGACCGACTTAGCGGCATGGCCCCGGTGACCGCCTTTACTGGCTTGTCTGCGACGACGCCCCTGTCAGCGTTTGTCAACACCGTGACCAAGGAAGTCGCCAACATTGACTGGCTCAACTGCACGCGCAAGAAGCACATGGACGAGCTGCTTGAAGCGATGGAACAGCCCTGCATCGCGAAGTGGCTGCGACAAGCGCCAAGAAGCGACGCCAAGCCAAGTCCAAGGCCGTCCAGTTGCAGAAGTTTGCGATCGGCGACTTTGTCCTCGTTAGCCAAGTGTCCCGCCAAGATAACAAGTTGTCCCTGCACTTGCGTGGTCCAAGCAAGATCGTCCGGGTCGTGACATACTATGTCATGGAGACTCAACAGTTGGTGCAGCCTAACAACTTGTCCCTCCACCACGGGTGCCGACTCAAGATGTATTGTAAAGGCGGCCACGAGGTGACCGAAGACCTGGCCGACCATATTCCTTTTGGCAATGAAGGGTTCCACGTGGCCAAGCTCGGCGAAGTCCCCCAAGAAAACGGTGAGTACCAAGCCCTCGTCTACTGGCTTGGTCTTGATGAAGACCAAGCCTCATGTGAGCCCGTGCGCTCGCTCTACGAAGACATCCCCATCGGTTTCCGCTGCTGGGTTCACCAACATGAAGACGAAGAAGAAGTGAAGAAAATGGTCGCGGAACTCCAGCCCACGGACACTCCCTTTAGGGGGGAAGTGTTCTGCATGGCGCTGCAGAAAGACCTATGAGCCTTTTAGAGGTCGGCTCATGGTCGCATGATCGGTAAGGCCGTTAGTCTCCATTATGTGCAGCAGGCCGTCATTCGTCGTACGGTTGTAGCCATAGTCGTGCGGTTGAAAGATGTGCATTGTTGGCGCATTTTCATTGGACGAAATGATTAGACTTAAAATAGACCAGAAAAAGTAATTTATACTAAGAGTCCTCAGTTTGCAATTTACAGTTAATTCGGCCTCCGCAAGAGGTTCCTGTCCGGATAACGATGGAAGCGAAAATAGCGATCCAGTAAGTTGGTGTCAGGGATCGTCAACAATATATTGACGTATCCTATCAATAATTGACAATACTATTGAGGGCAATACTGTATTGGCCCAGGCGTACAAATCAATACTTCGAAGTAGTATTGAACAATAAAGGATATTGTATTGTTCAATATATTGAACAAAAAACAAGCAATATCTCACCAACCAGATGCCCCACACCCTCACAAATACGGCCAAAACGCTTCCAAAGACAAGGCGCACAACATGCAGTAGTCAAAGTGCCTCAAATGCCCCTAGAGCGCGAGATAGAGCATTAAAGGTCCAATCAAAATCAAAATTTTCGCATCTACTGTGGATGCTGGCCCACATCAGAGCGATGATGACTTTGCGTTGGAGACCTAGAAACGGCAGCGCGAAGAGACAATGTCTTCTTCTGGCTATGTGTGCACGTCCTTTATTGTGCCTACATCAAATGACGTTGAACGGCTTTTCAGCCTGTGCAATCGTCTGTACTCTCCACATCGGCGGTCATTGAGTCCTAGAACGAAATACTGGTGTATTTGAGATCAAATCGACATCTTTGGGATCAAGCGCTTGTGGCATCAGTTGTCCATGGCAGTCAAAAAATGATGACGATTTTGACGAAGATGATGAAAACATCGGATCGGACATAGAGTAAATTACATGCCTCACTGTCAATATATTGTTTATTATTGTCAATAAAATTCAATATATTGCAATAATTGATTGTTCGACTTCTCTACCGGTAGACCAATAGAATACACAATACAATACATGTATTGATAAGGCCTGCTTGGTGTGCTAATGCAATCACAGCCTGACGTTAACGATTGGATTGACTTGGCTCTACAGATGAAAGACCGTTCATTTTCAAATTTCCACCATGAAGTTCAAACTCCTCGCTTTCACCGTGGCCGTCGCTGCCTTGGCTCAAAACCAAGTTGTCCCAGCCAAAATCGCTTGCGGCGATAGGCCCCAGACGACAGTTTCGAAATCCTCGGGGGCCAGGAAGCCCAATTAGGCCTGCAACCTTATGTGGCTGGGCTCAAGACCCTCGACCGTTAATGAGACCGAGTACGGCGACAGTCTGATCGCCCCCAATGTCGTTTTGACAGCGGCGCATTGTTTGAGTGGTAAATTACGTTCTGTGGTCGTGGGTACGCACTATTTAACCGGTTTTGCCGACGGGGAACTGGCCAATGTCACCGAGGAAATCAAACACCCCAATGACATCGACGTGGGCATCGTAATCTTGGACCGCAACATCACGACCATCCAACCTGTGGCGGTGTCGTTCCGGGGGACGTGCTCACTTGGGTACGCGGCTGGGGATACGTCACGAATAAATATAGTGGCCCCAAATCGCGAGTGCTCAAGGAGCTCAACTTCACGACCTGGAGCAACACCGCGGCCTCGGATGCGTTATTCCCCATCCCAGTGACCGATACGATGTTGGGTGCTGGAGGGGTGAAAGGAGAAGATGCGTGTACCGGAGACTCGGGGGGATCGTTGACCATCGAAGAAAATGATACCGTGCGCTTGGTGGGGGTGTCCATCTGGGGCTGTGGCTGTGGTCGGCGCGGCAAGCCAGGTGTCTATGCACGCGTCAGCGCTGTTCGTGACTTCATTGAACCGTACTTGCCGAAGTGAGTCAAACTTGCGCGTGTCATAATGAAAGCGAGCGACATGGCCAACATGCAACCCACTTGTACATACAACCGACGTGGTTATGGAACACCAAACTCGCTCGAGTAGTGTTTCAAGTAAGCTTCGTTAATACTATTAATACGTAGTAATACGGAGTACTATTAATACGTAGTAATACGGAGTACTGTACGCATTACCAGTTGGCATGTTGCGAAACAATTACCAACACTCCTAAATAGTGTCAATGCATTCTTGTAAGAGAGAATGATGGTCACGAAACAATAGCGAAACAGTTTATCCGGAAACTTAATTCCGGTTAAGTATCCGGAAACCGACGAAACTTCAATGTTTGTGGTGTGATTTCACGTAAATCTGATTACTCTTTCGTTGAAAACTTGGTGAGAGGTCAATGGACAAAAGAATTGGAATCCAGGAAACCATTATTAATGTCAAATTAGTGTGATACCAATCACCACACAACATCTCTTTACACACAAAATTCAGGAAGTACTTACGGGCTCTTCCAAGTACCGTCGTACTTTCAACCCAAAATGCGTTCCCAAGTAAGTTTGTCGTTATTTGATCGCACTTTGGTCGTGCTTTTGTCGTGTTTTCTGCTTCCACGTGATTGGCTAGTGATGGTTTTGTCGTGTTTTTGGTCCATCGTGTTTTGAAGTTTTCAGCGCCCACGGATTGGACAAACCTCTCCAATCAAAGTGGCATATGCTTACATGCTAATTTTCATATAAAGGCCAATGTGCTGCTCACCAGTGAAATTTGACGGCAGTGGTGGCGACCTGCCCTAGATCCAGGCACAAGGCCTAGGTCATACGAGTCCTAGGAACATGTAGATTGACAAGAAGCATGATAGCTATGCCTAGCTATAGCTTTGAAGTCTCCGCCATGATGTTCCGCAGCCTCTCCTCGTACATAACTGTAGTCAAGTCGTGCCGTGCCGTGAGCAAGACAGGGTACGGCTCGCTGTTACCATAGGTATCGTCATGGCTGCCGAAGCGTCCACAGCGGTACTGTGGCATGACCCCAAAGGTATCCTGCGGAAGTGGGATTGATTTCACAGTTCCTGGTGGTGCAGTTGACGAGAACACGTCCACTAATGGCGGCTCCGACCAACCTTGGCATGGACTTGCAGCCTCCAGGTGCGAGTAGAATATCCAATACTCAGATGAAGTAAAACGTAATCCAATCATTTTAACCTACTACCTCTGTTCTGAAATAAATCAAACAATCAGAAAAAATGGAAAATGAAGAGCAAAACAAAAAAATGCTTGAATCTACGAACATGTCCGGATAGAGGAGACAACAACGAATCCAATCGCAGTGCTTTCCCACCAAAATTCCACCAATCATAGATGGCCGTCATGTTTGAATATTTAATACATTGTTTCATATAAAATCGTTATCCGGATAGCCGGCTACGTTAAGGGAATGCTTTTTCCGGATAATACCAGTGTATCCGTATGATTGACTCGAGATCAACAGCTCAGTTTGAAATATGAGCGCGTCACCGAAAACAACGACCAGCGCCAAAGCGTTCTCCACCTGATTCTTCGTACTACATTGTACTGACAATCTCGCCTTGTTTTCGGAGGTGAATCGAGTTTGTACCCAAAACGTGTGCAAGTTGACTTCATGGTAACACAGACGAAGCTGGTGGGCAAGCACATTGAATTTAACATGAGTTTGTGCTGCAATAGCAGTCATATCCCACCACAAAAATGAACCTGCTCCTGGCGTGCCTTCGGGAAGGCAAATTGCCTCACGGCTCGTTTCAGTTTGTCGCTGGGAATTTCGGCGTCACTCGCTTCACGATCCGCTTGATCTGGCTACGCGCACAGGTCGACTTGAACAATGACCAGCGCATCTGCGTAAGCGTAGCGTCACAAAAGGTTAAGTGTGGACGTAAATTGAAACATGATGACATTTCTTCTCGACTTAAGGAGCTGTCAAAAACCTCACGCACAACGATGCGCGCCGTCGCCGCTGGACTTGGCATCCCCACGACAGCCCTCCACGCGTACTACAAGCGTGGCGCCATCGTCAAGTACTCCAGCTACGTCAAGCCCGCGCTGACGGATGCCAACAAGGTTGCGCGTCTGAAGTGGGCTCTCGACCACGTCATCGGCGGCTCGTCGCTGCACTTCAAGAACCTTATGGACACCGTCCACATCGATGAGAAGTGGTTCTACATGACGCGCATTTAAGCGCACGTTGTACTTGGCTCCTGGGGAGAAGCCACCTCATAGGCAGTGCAAGTCCAAACGCTTCATCACGAAGGTGATGTTTTTGTCGGCTGTGGCGCGTCCGCGGTGGAACAACAACACCGGCGAGTGGTTCGACGGGAAGCTCGGGACATGGCACTTCACCGAGATGGCTCCTGTAATGCGCTCCAGCCGCAATCGTCCTGCAGGCACGATGGAGTTGAAAACGAAGAACGTCGACAAGACAGCGTACCGTCAAATGCTCGTCTACAACGCGATTCCAGCAATCCGAGCGAAATTGCCGGCTGGAGAAACGAAGTGCGTGAAGATCCAACAAGACAACGCGAGACCGCATGTGTCCGCCAAGGACCCAACTGTGGCTGCAGCGTACAAGGCCGATGCGTGGGATATGGAGATTGTGTGCCAGCCACCGAACTCACCCGACATGAATGTGTTGGATCTAGGATTCTTCCGCGCCATTCAGACCCTACAAGAGCGTCACAACTGTCTGACGGTGCAAGACGTTGTGGCCGCCACAGAGGCTGCGTGTAACGAAGTCAGCATGGAGACGCTGGACAGCAACTTCATGACGCTGCAGTCGTGCCTACAAGAAGTGATTAAGGCTACTGGTGACAACAACTACAAGATCCCACACATGGGAAAGAAGAAGTTGGCCTTAGCCGGAAAGCTGCCCGAGACTATCGCATGCGACCCTACTTTGTTGAATAGAGACTTTTAGCAAGTGCGAAATGTCAGTAGTTTACATACTTTGTACTTCGTTCGATTTTATCGATGTCTGAAGTTGGAAGTTTAAAGAATTCAGATTTAGCAAGTCTGAAAAGTAAATCCCGACACACCAAGCCAACACCATCCATTATTCCTTCTCCTGTTCTTAGTCTGTGCCAACCGGTATGACTTCATTGCGCGCAATTCAACGAGAGACACATAAGGGCGTGTAGAATTGGATTTGTGTATCATGTGCGACGTTATGAAACGATAGTCATCGAACGCTTTGGACTGTAGGGACTCGGACTAGCTCAGCGGTCCTAATGCCCGCTGCTTTCGAAGTTTGAGGATCTTGTGTCAAGATTCTCCCTCTGTTTGGCCGTCAAGTATCGTGGCGACCAAACATAGGTTTACGTAGTCAGGACCGAGCTCGCCGCCCGTCGTCCTTGCCTTGGCATAGGGTGATCAGGTGGCAATCATCGGCGGCTTGGTGCGCGGCGGCAGGGAGTATACTTGTGATGTACTGCCCTGAGCTACAAACTCAGACTAGCGTCCTGCATCACTGTACATACCCGCGCTTGTGCACTATCCTAACACTACATAGTCTTAACTACCTATGCGTCGGCTGAAGCGAGTCGGAGCATGTTGGTGTGAACCTCAATAGAGCAATTTGATTGGCTCGAAAAGTAGTCAGATGTCTGCGGACTTCGATGCCAAAAGTGTGATGACTTCCTGACTTTTCAGACCTGTTTCCGAGCAAAGTCTGCAAGCTTCGAAGTTCGAATCGAAGTTTAAGTCTGGAAAGTCAAGATTTCGCACTTGCTAAAAGTCTCTAATGAGGGCTGCACCCGACTTGGTGAAGAAGACATCGACAAGAGACTCCGAGACCTATCTCAAGAAATTGCGGAGGCCTTGGAAATGGCGGAAATTTGCAAACTGCTCGAGGACATGGGATTTCGACATAATTAAATACACTTTCTTGCATTCTTAATAATAAATATTTTTTTGACAGCTCTGCGTCAAAATTTGTTTGATTTATTTCCGAACGTCAAGTTTTGCGATTGTTTGATTTATTTCGGAACAGAGGTAGTACTTGGGATGCACAAATACCCAAAACACGATCAAAACATGACTCGCCATCGTACTTTGAAAAAGTGATTTCAAAGTACGACGGAAACGATTCTGATTGGCTCCGTTCGTTTTTGAAAGTTACTTGGAAGAGCCCCTTACAAAGAATCGATCGATAGTAGATTTGGCGATTCAGCACAAATCTACAAATTTTGGGTAAACGGTAAACAGTGGTTAGGACGCGGCTATCGTGTCCTATATGCCGGTAGCTTTGGCTCACATTGCAGACCATGGTTGATCCAATAGCCCGTGCCAAGATTTTCACAACGTTGTCGCCCCGAAGAGTCCACCCAGCCCCCCACGACCGTTTCTACATCAACGCGACGAATAGAGTCGTTAGTTATTTGATGACTCGCCTGAAAATCACGACGTGGGGATACAGTACTCCAAGAACAACCTGAACGCCGTCCACAACATCCACGTGCTGTTTTGCATGGACTTGCATCAAACGATCTCGGGACAAAGCGGCTAAAGCCTGACAAAGCCGGCATGACCTACGCGCGCCCGGGCATCTCCCGCCGGTTCTCCGAGTTCCGATCTCTTCACCCGCGACAGGTTCCAACTGCCCCCTTCCTCCCGCCAACCTCTGGGTCGACTTTTGTATCAGGTATTTCCTTATCTCCACTTTGGCCACGCGACTACGTTCCCTCCAAGACGTGCACGCGACTACGTTCCCTCCAAGACGTGCTGGACGTGATCAACTTGTCGCCCCCCATGTAAGCCACGCCCGTGTTCAAGTCGTTTCTTGGTCCGACCCTGGATTCCCGCCTCGCGTATAAGGTTATTCATGTAATTCCCGGCCAGCATGCAATTCCCGGCCAGCAAATGACCAATAACAATCATGCATGGACAATGATTGGACAAAATTACGTACTCTTGTATCACATACTTGTAAGATTTAATATTCTGCTTGTCGGACATGTAATACAGTTTATATATTAGTTGCACTTCTAAATCAACGTTATCGCAGACGACTACAGTATCGTGGGTTGTGCTTCGAAGTATACTCGTATTTCTTTCAGGGTGTTGACGACAACACGGATAATAATGCAACCGTACCCTCATCCGGTTACTATCCGGACGACCATTGTGTACTCGACACATCGTCGTCAGTCCAAGGTGTCCTCTCGAAAATACATTGTGTCCTTCACCGGCCTGAACGACACCCTTTGTACACCAACTAACTGTAAACAATGGTTGGTTGCGTATAGCTTAGTGATGGCGTAGGAGTCTTCACGCTATCAATTCATTATTCAGAGCAACTCCACCCGTGGAACGAAGGAAGGAATTTACGGTTACGCGTAGCTCTATCCGGCTAACTACCGGTAGTCTAGAGACTGGCTACATGTGGTATGTATTTCAATCCAGAAGTGCGTTGAAAAAGGTGTGTTCGGTCGACAAGTGCAGAAGACTCGCACGGGGCAAGGGCGTTTGCTCCAGGCATGGAGCACAGAAAAACGCCTGTCGACCAGCACCATCTTCGGGGGGATTCTGTATGAATAGCCACACAGCCGTGGTCGACCCAGTGCAACCGTATGCAACACACCAGGGGGCCGTGTGACGGAGCTGGAGCATGGGCTTGTACTACTATACCACATCGTGATATTGCCATCGCAAAGGTATATTATTCGACGGGCCGACCATCTTCGAATTCGACCGTCTTGCCTTTTATTCTACACGACCTTTCTCCAAAGGTCGTCAGCTTTAGCTAGTTTTTAGATTGTTCACTTTTACATTTGCCTAACATTGGATCTACTCCTTTCTTGCTGTGTTCTTCTTGGCCAAGCCGAGAGTATCCGGTCCTGAAGTCCGAACCTCCGGACCTTCGTAACTTTTGTGCGTCTAACCCCTACGACCGTCACAAAAATGGTGGAGAAGCAGGGTAACTCTCCTGCCAAACCAAGAAATCCAGCACTCCTGGGTGAGCAAAGGCCTCTCGATCCACCCCCCGTCCAAGCAATCGCAGACGACACGGATGTCGCCTCAGCCGTCCCAGCCCCGACCGATACAAGACTTGACCTCGTGAGCGTGGCTGACGACGAAGTCCTCCTTAGCAGCTCAGATGAAGAGTGTAAAAGTCAGCCTGAACCTGCCCAAGGCACCCCTGTCCAGAAACAGTTGAAGGGAGACATCAACTACCGAATCCAACACCACTCCAACTCGCCCGAGCAACGAGACTTGGAGAAACGAAGCAAAGCGGCCGAAGACTCGGACGAGGCCGCCCATATAACCTTGACTACCGCTCGTCGTGAACTGGCCTTTCTCCTCGACGACGAGAGTGATCTATCCATGGAGCCCCGAAGTTCGTCTGAAGAGCTTGTATACACAGACGATATGGCTGAAGCTAGCTCCGACGAAAACAAGTCAAACGAGTCCATGTTCACTGAGGGCAACGACGGCGAGATGCTGACCCAGTCTGTTGTCCCGCTCACCTCTACAAGTCTAATTGCGCGCTTGGACTCGAACGACTCGTACTCCTCGTCAAGTCCTAGACTTGGGACGTTATCGCTACTGACCTCTGACGTGCAGTCTGCGACCGAAACAATTCATCACTTGGCTCAAGTGTCCACCCACACCCATGGTGTACCAGTCTTGATGGAATCTACGCATATGGTGACGACTCGCACCGTCCAGGCTAACGCTGAAGTCCAGCTGACTGTGGCAAGACGAGCTTCTCCCGAAAACTACGAAACCAGCTTAGTACTGGACCAGACGAGATTGCGCTTTGACTCTTCTTCGCCGACTCGTTTGGACCCTGCCGGCTTCCGACATCGTTCACGAAACTGCCGTCTACAATCCTGCCTTACCATTTGGATTGTCCCCTGTCGCTCACGTGGATCCGAGATCTCGAACTCCCCCCCAACTGATGGACCACGTCGTGTCTGCCCGTCCAGACGAATCCATGGGTGTGAAGGCCATCACGGACCATGTCGAGCCTAGTCCGCTACTCGACATGGTGCCCATTCATCAACCTATCGTGGAACGTCATGAGCACTTGACGGTTTTTGAACCGGACCTACCGTTTGGTCTGGCTCCT